TTCTTGGCTTATCCTGCTGTTAACCAGCAGTGATTTACAGCCGGCATTGCACATCTCCCGATTGACGGGACAACTGAGAAAAACTCCTTGGGCACACACAGCAGCGGATTTTACTAGCGCGATCGCCACAACGGGCTGGCTTGGCTTTCTGCTTGGCTCGTCGGCTGTAAAACAGCGGCTGTGTCCGAAGCGTCTAACATATTGCCTGGACGTTTTCTGGCTGCAGGGTACCGTGATGCTCCTTTATACTTTGATCTATTGCGAAGAATTTGTTCTTTATTCGATCCTTCGGTTAGCCGAGCTTCCGACTAGATCTGCTCAAACTCGAGAATAGCAACAGCCAGCGACAGGGGGCACCTGCCTAGCACCCTCTCCCTTTTGGAGCAGTGCCTTCATTATTGCCTTCTAAGCCTCTAACATAATCTGCCTTAGTACCCACCTACTGACCATGGTCAGTTCCAGATTTCATATTTCGAAGTGAACGCCCCCTCCACAGTCATGACGTCCCGAGCACGCAGAAAAACTAAGCACTGTTCCCTGTATTGACTCGAGAGTCGTGGCAATGTCCTCGCCACTGGGAAGCAGTTTCCAAAACCACACACCTCTCTCTCTTCCAAAAAGCTTTGTTGAGGACCCTCTCATCGACCATCAAAAGCTAGTAGGTTTCGCCGCTTTCAAGAAATGACTGAACGGAGAATTCCCCCTCGAAAACTGCGCGCGCAGGGACATCGTTGTTGGGAATCCCCAAACAGGGGAGCGGGCGCGTAGCGGGCTGAAGAAGATTCACTTTGATACGTTAAATTTTTTCGCCTTCCACGCGACGTTGAGAGCTTCTTCTCTAAAAGAGTGAGGGGGGTGGTGGTCGTACTCCTCTTTGTTGGGAGAGGGGGGGGGGGTCGTAATTCACTTTCTGGCCTTTTAGGACTGTTTCATGAGTGGTCTCCAAGAAGTACTGGGCGACGACATGTGGGGAATATATTCTTCTTGAGTTGGTCGATGTAACCGCCAGCGCTCAGCTTCAGCCCGGGGTCCACGAAGAAAATATCGGTTCATTCATTCCATGTACGGCCGGTCCACACCATCAACCCGCGCCTTGGTGAATGGGGTGAAGATGATGTCCTGGACCGTAGCGACGTTGCCGGAGCTGCTCGATGTTGGAGGTCTTGCAGATCAAGAGTACTGGTCTCCAGGTAGCTATCCATGGGTGATTCCATTCAAGAAGTTCCGCAGCTGTTTGGAGGCCACGTGAATTCCAAAGGCGTTCTCCACTCAGGCCGCGACTGGAGATGACTTCATATTTTGGTGTACATGAAGGTGAATGGCGGCAGCCGGCTCCTGCTTATAGAGGAAGATCTTGGGTATCTTCCGCCCTGGTACTCATATCCACTTCCTCTGTCTGGGCTGCGAAAACTTCGCTCATATGTGACTCGGCCGGAATGACTTTTTTTTTTGGCCCCCCCTGTATAAGGGGGGGGGGGGCAAAAAAAAGTCACTTTGCTTCATTGACTTTCGAGGCGCTATAAGTTACACTTTATGAACTCTGATCGGACATTTCTACCACCATATTAAAGAGCATATTAAATACTATTATGGACACTCCGCCACAGCCTTCTGGAGAAGCGCCATCGAGAGATTCTGGCACGCGACCGCGATGTGGTGCCTGAGATCAGCGAGATAGTCGATTTCTCCGCCACCGTAGACCACCCTATTGAACTCCGCCCGAACCGGGTAAGTTGAGGGGATTCAGGTCAGGTGACCTACTTGGATATTCCATCTTCTTTAGGTACTCAGCCCCCTTCCATTCCAGTAGGCGAGAGTTTCTCCAACGCCCTTCGATTCCACGTGGTGGCACCCAATGCTGTAGCAGTACAAAAGTTTCCAGAAGTTACGCGGCGAGCCGAAATGTGTGGGGAAGATATTCTTCTTGAGTTCAGATCTGTGTAACCGCAGCGGTGTTCTAGCTCTATCATGCGGGGCGACACGAAAAAAATAATCGTCTTTTCCATTCCAGCGTTGCTGTACCCGGTCCATTACCATTCAACGCGCCTTGGCGACTACGGTGAAAATGATGTCCTAGCGACGTTGGCGGAGCTGCTCGATGTTGGAGGTCTTCCAGATTGAGAGTACTGGTCTCCAGGTAGCAACCCTTGGGGTGACTCCATACTAGAAGTTTCGCAGCTGTTTGGAGGTGACATGAATTCCAAAGGTCTTCTCCAGTCAGGCTGCGACTGGAGATGACTTCATATTTTGGTGTACATGAAGGTGATGGGCGAGAGCCAGCTCCTGCTTATCGAGGAACATCTTGGGTATCTTCCGCCCTGGTACTCGTATCCACGTCCTCTGTCTGGGCAGCGAAAACTTGCTGATATGTGACTCGGTCGAAGTGACTTTTTTGCCCCCCCCCCCCCCTGTATACTGTCGACATCTTCGCAATCATAGGAAGCTTCTTGAGAGGAATTGAATGAGCTATCATATCACCAATGGTAGAGCAAAGCAGCCGATGCAAGCCCATACCGTCGCCTCCTGGCACTGCCCGAGCTGGTTGCGACGTTCATTGGCTATTTCCCATCCTCTATTACCTTCCCTGTCCTGGCTAGATCTCGGTCGGTTCTCATACCTATGCCTGATTCGCCCTCAGATTTGGACTGTGGGCCGTCAAAAGTTTTTTATTATCGCGATAGTGGGCTATTGGCTTTAGCTATGCCACCGCAAGCGGGTTGTTCACCCCTACTTGGTGACTTCTAATCTCAGGATGGGTCTGACAAACGCGGCTCGGACCTGCCGCTTACTAGCACTCGGTTAGACTACCTGTGCTAGTTTTTTCAGCCTTGCTCTGAAGCCGACATCATAAGCTCAAGTTTTAACAACGATGCGGCCCAGAATAAAGCATGCGGCCTTCTCTGATTCTGCATAAACGCCGTTCGAAAAGAGCTCCATATCTTCTTGAAAATTCTTGAAATGAGAAGCCTTCAGAATGTGGGAGGCCGAATCTTTTGGGATTCTAGCCTTCGTGAATAGGCACCGGTAGGCAGATTCGACAGCTGATTCAAATTGGGGATACTGCAGATAAATAAAGCATTAAGATGTTATAGTCGCTCAATTTCTGTCATAATACCCAAAAAACATGTGAAGCACCCTTGTACAACGAATAAATTAACGCCTCGTGCACAGGCTATGCATCGTTGTGTAAATTACGATTGAGCTGGTCATGGTTTACCGCTGGAGGAGGAGGAGGTCGTATTTGGTCGTTGTTGGGAGAGGGGGGTCGTATGTGGCTTTGAGAGAAATTTGCCGCGTTGGGAAAAATTTTTCCCGGTTGTTGACTTTTCGTGATTTTCCTGTTTCATGTGTACTGTATACCCCTCCCCTTCGACAGCAAAATTTTGGGGAAAAGTACGAAAATTTCCGGGAAATTCCGGAAAAGTGGTAGGAAGTTGGGGAAAATCCGAGAAATTTTCCCGTTTCACATTGGCTATACCCCCCCCTCCCGCTCGACGGAAAATTCTTGGGTGAAAAACTGGAAAATGTGGGAAATCGGTAGGTAGGTGTTGGGGAAGGGGGGGGGCGTACCGAGACTTATTTGAGAGGGAGGGGGTCATACTGACACCACCATTTCACACATCACGATGCTGTACTCTGGCTGTGCAACGGTCGTGCAGGCAAACGTCTTATGCCCACTGATATATGACCAGACCTGATGTTGAGTGCAAAGTTTGGCTGAACCTAGTGAGATTCAGTCAACGGGCCACGCAACCTGTATCCGGTCGTACCCCAGCTCATTGAGATATAATTTCAATATTTCGGGATCCTGGGCAGTTACTCTTATGGTCAGACAAATCATAGGGGTTGAAAGGCGCGCTGAGAGAATTCTCATCGATCGCGATACTCAATATCCTCGCTCGTGTAGCCGTCGCCACCTCGGGCTTAGCTGATCTTGTCGATGTTTGCGCACTTAAAGTGCCAGCGTGTTCGTATCGTTCTAGGCTCTGTGTTGCTTTTTTCCGAGATTATTTCATCGATTTTCCATGCTGGTCAATACCATTCTTCATCGTTATGGGTGATTACTGCGCTTCGGAGGGAGCTTGTCTAGGAGTAATTTTCACAGTTCTTGCTTCCTCTGCAGTCATCACATACCCCAATCTGGGCGCCTGGTGCTAACTGGGGAGCACCTACGCTCTATGAGTAAATGGGGTGTTTGCGACATATCGGAGGCCAAAACAGAAACTCGAAATTATTACAGGCTTATGGATAGAAAATGGGAAATTTCAAAAAAGTCATCATTCTTTCGATCAATAGAACGACCTTCTTTGTTTCTATAATATACTTCGCAATCGGAAATTGTAAAGAACGTCTTCTTACACGTTCGGGCGCAGTTCGGGACGGCGGGGGGACATTTTGTACATTTGCTGCTTCATAAGTTCCGCTTCACAAGTCTCACATTGGTGAAACCTGTGGACTTTTGAAAGCTGTTAACTCTCGTAAGCTCACCAAATAGCTCCCTCGTCGGCTCGACCCGCAGATGGGAACCAGCAAAGGTGCGAAAGCCACGTCCCGTCGCTGAACTGCCCCCGTTTTTGGTTTATCACCCACCTTGCTTGCTATTGCGTTTCTCTTACATAATTTCGCTTGATCATTTCGCTTTCGCGGAATCGATCATCCATGACGAAGTGATCTAGAAAATCTCCTGGTTTTCACACACGCATGATGTAGGCTCAGTAAGAAGCAAGTTCACTGGTCCTTAGCCAAACCTTTTGCTACAACCCCCCCCCTACAACTACAATTGAGAAGCTTCACTGAAGTGCGACAAACATCATTTCTTTCTCTGACGTACATATTGTCAACTCGATGTTACCTAAGCAAGTGTTTGCTCTCTCCGAACCCTCAGCGCGATCCCTTCAATCACACTGATCGGACTCATTTGATATGCGACCTTCGACCCGACCAGCGACCCACGACAACTCGTCCACTGCTACTGGCTACGTATGTCGATGTTTTCTACGATGGAATCTCCCGACTTACTGTTCCGTAATTACGGGAAACGAATCCAGAACAAATGGATTGCTTCAAGCTTATCAGCGCCGCTGTTTCTTGGCCAGCAGCACTCTCATCAGTATTCGGGTGATCCAATACAACTAATTACCGAAGAGCCTCTAGCGCTGTTTGGACTCCAGGTAAGACTGTTCGGAAAACTCCCTCTCAGACGTGAACGCTAATAAGGATCCATTTTCATTTTGTTGAGTGTAGACTACTTTCGGGATGACAAGCTCGTAAAAACTGCAAAAGCAATCCTGAATGCAAACCCCTAGACGGCATACTGTACCAAATACTACCGAATTTTCTGCGTTATTTCACATTCGCCTTGGAAAGAAAGTTTTGATCGTACCATCTGCATTGGAGGTCATCAGAGCGGATGTTGCATGTTCGTTACTTACTCAAGTGCGGAACAGATGCTTCAGAGACCTCAACCAGTTCTATTGGGGTAGATCGTTTGCGGGCCTTGCTCTTACAAGAGCGGTATTGGTGCATTTCATCAGGGCGCAAATGGTGTAAGCGCGCATTTTTACCAAGTGTTCATCACACAGTTTTTGAAGCTGCTGTTATTTTTCTCAGAAAATGAGTCTTTAGGAAGAACAAGACATAAAAGAGAATCTCGCTGGCCAGTCTATAAGATGTGTGATTTGGCTTTGTAAAAAATAATACGGGAGCCGCTACCGTCTGGCGGCACTTAGCCGACCCTGGGAGACTGAAGGTTCGGTTGCACCGGGAGTCGAGCCGAAATTGGGCCCTTGATGGAGCGCGTGATGGCTGGTGCTTTCGTATGAACCGTAAAATAGAATCGCAAAGAATTATGACTATTTCTTCTTAACATTTGCTACGCATGAGTGACTATACAGGGGCCTTTCCACTCCGACTTTCTTATTTGTGTGAGGGCATGAGAGGGGTTGACCATGACGACCATAGAACGCTGGCCCAGAATAAAAGGATAAATTCTTTGCCGTTCATCCATCTCTTTTTTGGGATTCGACACTCCCATTCTGAATCGTAGTGGCCTATACAAGTGCCTTGCGCAGGCCAGCCGATGTAGCAGTTGGTGTTCTTACCCTCCTAGGCAAATGCAGTACTAGTCTGTCGTCCAGGGTAGAAGGCATGGTTAGCCTGGGCGGAAACCGATCTAGGATTCGAGCCTGGAACCGTGCTCGTGATATGTTAAATGCGCCACTTTACTACACAACTTATGCCTCACGCCCACATTAAAATGTATAACTTAATATAGACTTAACTTGTAGTGTATGTAGTTCATTGATCTGCAGTAAGTCTTAGCGCTACCATCCATAAGATTGAGCCCTCAATTCCATGATTCCGTTGTTGCACAAATACAGTAATTGTACCTGTATTATACAAATACCGTAAACTTATTCTTGTGTCTACTGCAAAATCGATATATCGATTGAGTGACGTCCATATGTGTCTTTTCGATGTTCATGTTCGTTTGTCCATGTTCGTGTGAAATTGTCCTATTTAAGGTCCTCGTGATGGTGTGTGTGTGCTGTCGTTGTTGTGTCTGTTGTAAATGTGGACGTGCTGTTTCTGATAGCTCCGGTGACGAGCCCTACAATATCCCCGGTGCCAAACATATCCCGGTACCCGTTTACGGAAAATCGCATCAGAAACGAATAAAGAAGCAAGGTCCTCTTCACACGAAGTCGCTGGCTCCAGTGGTACTAACATCGTTGAAGTAAGAAGTGGTCGTTCTGCCAGTGCGTTGTCCTTCTGGAGTGTGCCGTTGGATGTGGATGTTGTGCCGTTGCACACTAAACCAGTTAATGTATCCGATGAGAGTTTACCGTGGATTGATGATAATTCGCAAGATGATGCCGATTGTTGCAGAGAACAGCGGAAACCCGGTTTTAGACCACTAAGAGGATCCTCAGTTCCAGCGTAAGTTCCGTGATCACTGTGACAGCTGTCCAATTGTGACCAGTTGTTACGCATTTTTTTCAGAAGCGGTACGCCGCCCGAGCAATCATCACCTGTAGCCAGCGATTCTACACGACGACGACGAAAGCACAAAAGAATGGATAAGAAAAGCAGCGGAGGAGGATTTTTCCAGGTACATATCTACTTGATGAACTAGTTGCCCACAGTTGTTGGGTAGAAGAGGTCTTCTTCTGCCCCATGTGACTGCACCTATGCGGGTAAATTCCCAAATGAGCAACGGGAATCCATCGATAGTGTTGTAAAGGACTGATGAAAAGCGTTCGCTCAGCCACCACGAGTAGCTGGTCTTTCATCTAAGATTTCTCCCTTCTACTTCCTTCTCCCGATCAGGGTTCGTATTTGTGATTGATTGTTCGTCAGTTCAGCGCCGAGTTGTTTGAACAGATGGTAACACAGAAAGCGCTCGTGTTAGTGATTACTAGTGATATACTGGAACGGATAAGTGGTCCGAGAACCCGAGCACCGTAGTATTTAACAAACTGATGATGAAACATTGTTTCTCAAGCATCACACATCTGTTGGAGTTAGCAAAAAATCCTGCGGTGCTTCAAAATCTCTCTCTCCCCCCACCAGTGACTTAAAGGCAGTTGGCACGATGGTTTCCTACTTAGCCTAAAATGCTAGTAGGGCGCTGTATAGTGGGGAAATGGCGAAAGAACGGAGTGAAACGGTCAAAATCCTGCGAAGAAAAAGCCTCCGTTCTCAGTGACTTGTAAATCGATTTCGGACGAGTTCCTGGCAGCGTTAGCAGCTTAATGAATACGAGCGTCAGGAACGGTCGTCCATTTGTGGGCGGGCGGGCGTGGCGGGTGTTTGGGAGGTATTACGGTATGGTAGGGCCCTTATAAGGGCAC